ATGCAGAAAACTTAGTCCTCGAAGATGTTGATCTGGTGGTAGTCGAATACGAAATGTTTTCCCGCGCGAGTGTCGGCCAAATCCAAGCGCTAGTCGACTTCTTCGCTGCGGGGTATACGTCGTCGAACATATCCTGTGTAAAATAAACGTCCCCACCCTACTAGAGCCGGGATAGGAATTTTTCAACACAAACCCAGAAGTTCTTCCAGTCGCGCAGGACAAGTTTGCTCTAGCTGTATTGTAGTTCAGGCTAGCATGTTGGACTGCCGCATGACAAGTCCATCCTTTTGTCCTGTTTGCAGCATTGCAATTGTCAAAACACAACTACTGGGATGTGCATTTTTACGAAGTGTTCTTGCAGACGATGCAAAGTTGCATGACCACTGCTTGGGGAAGGGGACGTTTTTACTAAGGATAGAACACGAGGGGTATTCTCGCTTTTGACGAAGCGCAGCGGATTTTGCGAGGGGGGGTGCGGTTTGTGGAGAAAATTTCTGTTGGCGGAAGTAATCAAAATCTTGCAACTTCTTCTACGTCGCTGGAGAAGAGTAGGACCTCTGTGGAGCCGCGAGAAGGAGCGGCAGCTTCCGGAGCGTCCAAAAAGGTCAAGGACAAGCCGAGTGCCAGCACTTCTTTCGGCAGGAAGCAGCAGGAAAAAAAGCACAAACTACCAGCCTCCTCTGCTGCTTCGACGGTCACCACACGAGGGAAGATCAGCGTCCGCGGTCAAATGGAACAAGGCCTGCAGCTTTTGTCTTTGAAGCAAAGCGGTGCCGGGAACAAAAGCGCTGTGTGCTGCCGGCTGCTTTTGGAGCGGATTCGCGCCTCCGTCGCCAACAGAATGACGGTAGTGGTCAGCGGGAGCCTGCGCGTAGATGGCGAACTACTCGGCGCGAGCTTAAGGCTGGCAGACTTGGAGATGTTCGGCGATGTGTTCGGATTATTCGGCCCGGTGCAGGTCGATTTGTCCACATGGCCCGAGCTCGAAAGTTTTGCACAGAAGCCCCCGTCGACTTCTGCCGCCGCTGCGAATGGGGAGGGAAACCACGATGAGAGAGCAACCGGTCGCCGGGGTCTTCAGACAGTCGCCCCGTGCGCGACTTTTCACCTCTTCCGGTCGGCTTTGGGCAAAAACAAGGAGGACAAGGCGGCCATAGCTTTGATCGCGGACGCACTGCATCGCGACGGCAGATTGTCGCGGACCTGCCTGAAACCACTAGAGCTTCTGAAGAAGACGAGCATAGTGGTCCCGAAGGAAATCAAAATGGAAGAGAAGGCCAAGCTTCTCTACTCGCAGGTCGTTTTATGCACTGCGAAGGGGTTATCTAGGTCAGGAGGGTGGCAAGACTTGTAGTGTTGAATTCGCATTAGCATTATGATCATAAGTACTCGATCTTCCTCTGCTCTGCCTCTGTATTGCATTTTGCAGAACAGCAGTGCTTCCTTGTGGTTGTGTACGCATCTGTCATGCGTAGTACGCACTACAGAAGAAGTTTGTCTTTGTATAGATTCTTCGTGTTTTTTATGATTGGCACACTCACGCTCATCTATGAAGATTTTGGCATGACGACTTCCAGACCCAGATGACCTGTTTGCAATGCATAGAAGGAGCTTTTCCAACACTTTTTCAGCGAGCTGACCTGCTTTCTCTCGGACCCGGAACTGGAGCCGGCCTTCAAGCACGACTACGAGGTAAAAAAATCCAAGCGGATCGCGAGAACGAAAGAGGCCAAATCAGCAAAACCAATGAAAAGAAAGGCGATAGGAAATACGGCGAAAAAAAATAATGAAGAAAAAGATGCTCCTTCATCGTCCTCTTTCGCGGACAGGCCCCACCTTGCTGTCAAAATTCGAGAACTCTACGAGCTGTTCTCGCAAGCGGTCGCGATATTATCTCCTTCGCTGAAGCTGCCCTGGGTCCTGGCGAAGGCCGGGGAGAGACAATCCGTGCCGGAGAAGGAAAAACCGATCGTGCTGTTTTTATGCATTGCAGAATTAGTATCGCACTAGTACCAGTCATCTCGCGGGCTTGCGTCGTCAAAAATTTGTTGGGGAAAAACAAAAATGAATTGGCCATGATCGATGCAGCAAGAAAATAAAAGGGTGCTGTTTCATTTTCTTCTTTCTGATTCTTCATTGCATTATATGCCACGCAACTACGGTTCAGATGTACTAGCGCGATCATGCTTTTGAACCGGATACCCTTACTATCCCACGAAAAAACTGTTTCACTGTGATGGTTTTGCAAGATCTGCATCACAAGTTTGTTACACATGACAGAGAAAATTTGCCATGCGCGTTTTCCAAGGGAAAACACGCTTAAAAAGCCATTGTGTTGCAGGTGTAGCAAGACAAACACTTTGGTGTTTCGTTCTCTGCATCACAGGTTCACAGTGAAGCAGTTTTTTCTTGCGATACTTACACGGAGTGCAGTTCCTCGGCGGGCGCGCCTTGGGACGAGCTAAACCAGTGGCGCGACTTATCCTGAGTAAAAACATCCCCACCCCATAGTTGTCATGCAGATTTGCGACTACGGGAAGATTTGTAATGCGCATCTCTATGAGAGGCATTTCCAATCGCGTTTTGGAATTTGTAATGCTGTAAACAGGATAAACAAATGGATTTGTGATGCGGTTGTCCTTGCTAACATGCACTACACTACGGACTGCAACTTCTCGTGCGTGGCTTCCAAAACTTGTGGATTTGTCTTGCTAGGTTCCCAACTTGACTATGGGGTGGGGACGTTTTTACATATGATACGACTGGAAAAATACGCTGCTGGAGCAGAAGCAGGAGTCAGCGAGTTTAGAGAGGCTTTTGGAGTTGCAGAACCAGTTTACCAGACGACCACTGAAGCAGCGTGAAGAAAATTTTTTGCGCGAAAACGGTCTGGAGGCTCCGCGCGCTGAACAGGACGCGAGTGCCGAAGGTTTTCGGAAGGTGCCGCCCGCCGTTTTGGAGGACAAGCTGCTGGCAAAAGTGGACCACTTGTTTTTGCACTTTTTGGAAAAAGAGAAGCGGCCGGAGAGAAGCGCGGCGCTGAAGATCAACAAGAAGCAGTCTGCATTCTCCAAAACTTCTACTTCGATAGCGAAGGCAGCGAATAAAGTAAAGGAAGAAAAATGCGGTGCTGGTGCAAAGGCAAAGCACACGATGAACAAGAAGTCCGCTGCTGGTACCGCCAAGAAAAAGCCAAAAATGAAAGTGAAAAAGGAGCGAATTGCCGACTCCAGTGAAGATGACGCCGAGGAGGACGAAAGCTCTTCTAGCGACGCAGAGTCCACCACTTCTGAGGATGAAGATTCATCTTCAAAAAAAGCCGCGGGAACAAGCAAGCGCCTGAACAAGCGATCGCAGATGCCGGACGCGCTCTTTCATTTCAATGATTGGCAGATCTCGAAGAAGTACCTATTGAAGAAATTCGAGCTAATCAAGAAAATCCAAAGCATCAACTGGCCGGGGAAGGTGGTGGATGACATTTTGGACGAATCCGGAGGACCCGCGGAAGTTGCGGAAGTTATCCGCTGGAAAAACCGATAGTACCCATGTAGTTCGTTGCCCTATAGTTTGTCATCAAGATGTCGGCTGCTGTGCTGCACAAGTCAAGAAGAAAGTTTTAGGTCCTGTTGCGCGTGTTCACTGGTTTTGGCCTCTAGTGTACAGCGTGGTGGCGAGCCAGTGCAGTCGCAACACACGGGATCGACTTGCCCATCGTGATTAGAGCATGACAATGAATTTATCCCAGATAGAATTACAGTATGATGCAACTACCTCATGCTCATGCATTTTTTAGCTGGGCATGTAACAAATTCAAATTGTGGGCATGCAGGTCAGCGTGACAAATTCAAATGGGCTGTAGTGCGCTGCTGGGTATATACGCTTTTCCACAGGATAGAAATTACCGGTCGGTATTCTCGGTGGATTCGGGCCGACTACGACGCGGAGCCGGAAAGCGAGGAAGCGAACCACTTCATGTGGGAGAACCGGAACGGGAAAAACGCTGCAATATCAAAATGAAAAAAGCCCCCACCCCATATCAAAACGGAATTTCTGATGCTGGATATGCGTACACAAATCAGATTTGTATTGCGCAAAGGCTTTGCGGCCAGATCCCCAAGCTAGATAGGGGCGTATGGGTCTAGTTGTTCAGCAGTGCAAACGGTTCCCCTTTAGGCCCAACAGCATGACAAATCGGCTCCATAATGGGGCGGAAGCTTCTGCCCTTGTCTTCTTGCAAGACAGATGCGATTTGTGACCTCAAATCAGCAACGTGTGGAAGGAGGAAGTTCGGCGTGTCGGGTGAGGGACCCCCGACGGCTGGCCTACGGATATCAGGTGGATCACAGGCTCAAATCAGCAACGCAAATTTTTGGAAACATACCTTTTCGATATGGGGAGGGGGGATTTTTCCTCGCAATATGCAACAATGGGCGAAAAGCGACACCGACTCGAGTGCCAAAGTTTAGTATGCGTTGCAAATGGTGTTGGTGTCCTCAGGTCTGGAATGGTGGGGGCGCTTGCATGGCTTTCCTTGCATTTTTCTGCTACATTCTGTATTGCTATTGCATGACCCACTAGAGCGCAACTTTTTTTTCATGGAAGTGCGCAGTTTGTCGTGCGCAATTTGTTTGGTAAGTCCTTCAGTGTAGTCATACATTTTTGGCCACGCTAGGCAGCGTCCTGCTCATGCGAACTGCAGCTTCGCAAGTTGAAGTTCTTTCCAGACCTAGACACATTTGCTTTGCAAGTGATACAGGCTCGATGGCGAAAAAGCGCTCGGCATCGTCGCCCACCGGTGTTCGAAGGGATTGAGTTTGGCTAGCCGCAAACGCCCCGCGGTGGTCTACTTCGTTGACATTCCGTCGGACCCCCAGGTGGTGAGCGATTTGGCAAAACTGGTCGGAACGGACAATGCGGAATTCATTCTCCCGTATTTTGGCGAGGACTTACCAGGGGAGCTGGTAGCGGTGAACGCCTTGGCGAAGGTTTTGAAGCAGGACGAGGTCGTGGAGTTGGGGAATAGCGGAAATAAATCTACTTTCCCGGCGGCTGCGTCCTTGTCTAGCTTCCTCGCCTCAGCGATGAACCTTTCGGACAATAAAAGTCAGGCGGTGGGAGGCACGGCCGACTGTTTGGACATGATTTTGAACGAGATCTGCGCGGGAGGAGGACGGAAGGAAACAAGTTTTGGAAAGCAGGGGGCAAGCAGCTCCTCGTCATCATCTAGCGCCGCGGCTTCGAGTAAAATAGTAGCTGCTTTGGAGCCGTCAAAATCAAATAAAGCGAGCAAAGGCAACAAGAAAAACGTTGCGCAAGCCTCCGAATTGCCCGTCGCAGTGAAAGAAAAGTTTGCCGAAGAGGTACTGGAGCAGGCAGAATTGATTTCTAGTAGGAAGAAGAAGAGAAATTCTGACTCAGTTTCCCGTCTCGCCCTGTTCGAGACGTGGCGGGGTAACATGCTCCCGAAGATGCAGGAGAAGATGTTTGACCCGGTACTTCGCTTCTCCACCGGTAGCAAAGCCGTAGTGGGCAAGAAATCCGCACTCCTTGCGGACGAGCAGGACAGTGCCAGCAAGCGAGCTCCTTTCTGGGTCTCGGATGCTACAAACAAGTTCCAGCCGCAGATGGTGACAAAGTTTTTCAACCGCCTCCATCGGTTAGCCGTGAGGGACCAGAAGGAGTTCTTGCTGCTGTTTTCCATCACCCATGCCTGCCTACATCCAAGCAAGGCCGTTGCTGCTACGGAAGAAGTAGCAAAATTGCGGCAAGAACCACCTGCGGCCCAGAACAGCACCCCGAAGAGCACCATATACCTTGCAAATATGTCTGCGTCTGGAAGATTGCAAGAGAAGGCCACTTGCGATGCTTGTCTGGCATAGCTCTCGAGTTCTTCGTGCATGCTGCGAGACAGCGACAGCCTCGGTTATTGGTATAGGCAAAAGCAGTGCAGTTCGGCTTCCTTATGCGGAACACCCAACGCAGATTTCCCCAGCAACTTGTCATGCTTCGCTGCATATGCATAAGGAAAGGTAGTCATTTCATTACATACAGGAGGTTAGCATGACAACTTTCCAGCAGACCTAGACCTATTTGTGTTTGATGCACCCAGCTTTTCCGCGATGTCACAACGAAGCAGCCCTGCACCCTGACCAGAATCAGAAGCGGGGGCAACTACTACTCCTTTTATGTTTCCGGGGCCATTAACGACCTGCTCTCGTGTCCGGAGCTGTTGCAACAGTATGAAGACGATGCGGGGACTAGATTGGCCAAGACGGGGACGAAGATTTTGATGGGGGTGGAAAGTCCGCTGGGAGTCCCAGCCATCCAGATTCACCCTTCGCAGGTACGTACTAGCACTTAGCTAGTACTAAAAGCGCTTGCAGATGCAGCTACTTTTAAATTACTTAGAAGCGTTCAGTTCTACAACTTCGTGATAGATTATGTAGTGCTTCACTGTCTCCATTTCGTCCTTTTCGTTTTCCCAGCCATCCATGGTTTTGATGACCGCTCGAGTACTTATTCAAGGTAAAAAAGGTTCATCTTGCAATACAAAAACAGGAGCCACTACTTGAAAGAGTTGCAAAGTGGCTGGCTTTGGGCGGATCTAAGAACCGCGGCTCAACAGCGTTTTTTTCGCAGCAACTCCGGGCGGAGCTGTATCTGGAGCGGGATTTAAACCAAGACGCGGCTGACGGGTCTGACGACGGCAACAGCGAGGAAAACACCGAGGTGGCCAAATCACATTACAAACTAATCCCCGTCCCGGCGAAGACTCGCTACTCAGAAGCCGAGGAAAAGATCCTGTCCATGTTGCTGGCCTGCTACGAAGATGACGAAAAAGCCCGAGACAGCGGCAGCAGCAACAAAGGCGACGAGCAGGAGCAGAGTAGCGAAGAAGAGCACGTAGATATCAAATGTAAAAATGTCTGGGTCTGGAAGATTGGAACTTGTGATGCTAACTTTGGACTCTAGAAAAATCTGTATTGCGTGACCAGCAAGAGGTGGAGTCTAGTTTGTGCTACGCGGGGAGGGCGTTTGTCATGCGTAGTAGGTATCAGGAAGTGGAAGCCCGCTCAAAATCTGTGATGCGCGGTCGTGCATTACAGACATCCTGGGTCATGCAAAACATGCATGACAAATCTCAGAATCTTCCAGACCCAGACATTTTTACATTTGATAGTAGACCGTGGCTTGCAATTGGACGCGATCTTCAGTTCCACCGAATCCCGTACCGAGATGGCGTTGCAAATTCTCGAGAAGAAGTTGCTAGGCGACAGTGGGGCTGGCGGGGAAAAGTCCGACGCTGGCGCAGCTTCCAGGAGGAGGGGGAAATCGTCAAAAAGCAGCAACCTGGGCGCCGGCGGCGACATGATGGACATAGGCGAGGAGGGCGGCCTATCCTATGTAATTAACCTCCCCACCCCATGCGTAGGCAAGATAGAGGCTATGCTAGTTGGGTACGCACACCGTGGCGCAGCTGTGGCTTTTGTGCAGGGGAACTTTGGACTCACAGGGCAAGTAGTCGCGGTTAGATTCTGTACAGGCACTGTGCATAGATTCATTTTCTATCTGATTCTGATTGGAGCATGGCAAATTCTGAAAAAGCAGATGAAAATTTGATTGTGGATCTCATGGGGCAACGCATGAGCCAGTGCCAGTGGCTCGGAACAAGGTGTTCTTTTCGATGAAAAATCCGAATGGCACGTGTGGGGTGGGTGCGTTTTGACACAGGATGAAATAACATCGCCGGAGCGTCTCTGCTGGACGCGGCGGACGCGCTGGGATTCGAGTTTGACGCCTTTGGGGCGGCCGGGGAACCACAGAAAGGAACCGGCAGCGGAGGTGGCGCGCTTGTTTCAGCCAACTCATCTTCGTCTCTCTCGTCCCCGGGTACGAACAGTGGCGCGGACGCGACAAAGAATCAACCGAAAAAACCCTTCGACTGGTATTCTCGCGAGGGATTTCTGCTGCTCCGCGCGACTCTGGAGAAGATTTCCCACCCGCACAAAGCAGACGCGTTTCTGTACAAAAAGCTCGTAATCAAACGCGAGACAAATGACGAGGGCAAGGAGGTAGGGAAATTTTTGATGATGTATCTGCAGGGGAGTTTTTTTTTTCTCTTTTGCATGGCTGCTGATATTGTTTTTAAGCTCATGACTGTACTACAGAGAAGTAGGAGTGAGCGATTGGTGCTCCGTTCCTGCTGCTCAGCAAGCGTTATTCACTTTTTTCGCCTGCTAAAGGTAAAGCCCACCGATAGTACAACAACAAAACAGGTTCCGGTCGGCGTGGCTGGCCCCGCGGACGGCTTCAGTCTGTCGCGGTACAGCTTGAAGGCTCGTTTGGACGCACCCCAGTTCTACTTTCCCCTGGTCGAAAGGGGGCTGAAGCCC